TCTTCAACAGGTTCTTTCGTAGTATATTGATCCACATAATGCTTTTTCCTGGACAGTGAAGAAGTATTCTGCAACTCGTTATGTGGATCACAAGCAGTTCTCAAATTCCGACCATTAGTCTCTTCATCGCTCACAATATCCAGGCCTACATCCCTATTATTGCCTTCACTTCCAGCAAGATACGTACTAAGTTGGTTTCCCAATTTCTGAAGACGGGCTTCTGACCTATAGGTTTGGCATTGTGTTATTGAATGAATTTTTGCATTCTTAAATAAGAAGCAATTAGAAATAGAGATAAATGCCTTGCCTCTTTAGATCATCGTGTGCCCGCAAGAAACGGTTATATTCTTTCACAAATTTCTTCGAGCTTGAAGTAATCCTGACACACAAAAGGATTGAACAATACTTGTCACCAGAAGATCAAGTCCCAGATTTGCCAAATAAAGTTTCTTCAAGTATATCGCATCATAATTAATTTCAAGCAAACATCAAAAAGGAATTAGTCATTACCTCCTACATTCATCTTTCTCTCTATCCAACTGGGTCTCAAGCTCCTGGATCCTAGAAGTAAGAATGTCTACTTCATGTGCCTTCCTTTCAACGGACGCCTTTGGACAAAAGAAATTTGTCAATTAACTCGTATTTACGATGCAATCAAATCAATTGTGGAATGGAGAAATTTACCTCCAATCGTAGTTTGTCATCAGTTAGCATCTTAACATCCATCTCTACATCTTTTAACTGCATATAGACAAATTGGACTTGGGTCCTTTAGCAACATCTTTACAAATGTTTACATCCACTAAACATTAGATTAAGATAAAGCGAAATCACGTCCTCAACTAACACCCAACCAAGAAAATGAAAGTTTCGAACCTGCTCTTCCAGAACATTATTGTAACCATGAAACTTATTTCTTCCATCTTCTGCCCTGTCTTCAATCCTATTCCCAACTTTCAAACCACCAGCATAATCACGTCGTTCATCAAATCTACGGTTCTCCCTGTAGTCTTTATCTCTGTGATAATAAGAAATATAAAGCCGCATTGTTAAAGCATGGCCATCAAATTACCACTGAAATTTCACATAGCATGAGCATAAGCAAAACCGAGGGGAGAAGATACCTTCGATTCTCAAATGGCATAGAATTGTCATGTCCTGCAAATTTGAATTCCGTCGGTAATAAGAAAAGAAAGAAATACAGAACAAACAGTTGACAGAGACTTTTGACTCTGCCTAATCGACAACAGAACTCCATAAACCCAAAGCTGTAGATCTTACCACTAAACCTTTGTACCCGTCTTCCACTTCTGTCTAAGGAAGGTCTCCGCTCTGGAGAAAACTGTCTACCAAGTCTATCTCTTAAGTCACTATCCATATTGTGACGTCTATCTCTTAAGTCACTATCCATATTGTGACGTCTTCCTGCAGTAGACGAAACAGACTTTGCAGTAAAGCATACTTGTGCTACAGATGTGAACTCCATTTCAAACAATCAGAATCATGCCAGTCAACAACACTTGGATAAGATCACAGAAAACTACTAGTAACATAAAGAAAAACGTAATGGTGATTACTTCCCAGTTCAAAGAGACCACAATATAATGTCCTCTTCTTACCAGCAGTTGGAAAGAAACCACAATTGGGTACTAAATAAGTGGAGTCACTGAATCTCATTGATAAATCATAGGTTGAGAAGGCTTCAGATTATGTTGGACGAGAGAAAATAAGAACCAATCTTGAAGTTCCATTTAATTACACAATCAAAATCCACCAAATTTGATATACTGACAATCAAACCCCCATAAACTGCATATTTCTTGATCCAAGAAACCGCTTGAAAGACCATTGAAGATATAAATAATCACAGAAAATACCACGTGCTCCACATACATAACTGGAAGTATGAAAATGCCAGAAGTAATAACAACAGGCATTGATAAATCCTAATAACAAGCATTGCTTGCAACCAAATCTCGGGAGTCTGAAAACCATAGTTGTCGAAGAATAAGTACCCCGCAAAACCCATGATAGATTTTCTTCATAAAGAATGTGCTTTCAAGAGCAATAAGAAAACCAAGATAAATTTCACCACAAAAAAACCCAGCAGATTCCACTCCAATAAGAAAACCAATATAAATTGCAGCCAGAAAGACCAGTAGATTCCATTCCCGGATAAAAAATAATACTAAGCCTGTGAGTAGCTATCTTTCTGCATATTCCAGAATGATTCCGCAGGACAAAACTAGTCAGTAAAAGTTGATATGGAGAAAACCAAATCCAAAGCAAAGTATAATACTGATACCATTACCATGTGTTTATCAAACAGAACACTGTAGGCTGAAACGTTTTACACAATCTCATAAAATATGGAATAATACTCACAAAGCAAATGCATTGAACCACAAAACTTCAGAAGAAAAATACTTCACAGAATCATCAAAGTATAATATAAAAATCTTGCAAAGTCTAAGCAAAAGAGACTTAATTAAATAAAAACTTTTCTATTTTACTCTAATAAAAAGAAGCACTCATAAATTCATCAATCCTTCCACCATTAACAAACTTAAACCAGAATAAATAGCCTATTCAAATGCATAAACGAAAACATTACCTGTAAAAGAAGATTCGCCAGGACGACGAAGCTCAGCATTTCCATGAGCAAAAGTACAATTCGGCCTCGAACAATCACCAGTCTTATTGAACAGAATACAAAGCTTCGTCTTATACATACTCGACCCAGACATGATGTATAAACCAATTACAACGAAACCTCTTTTCTTCAGATCAAAACTTCAAAAGTCAAGCCAACCTCAAAAAGTCAAGCAAACCTCCATAACCATAGATTAACACCACCGTCTCGTTCCTACATACGAAACAGAAGAAACGCTTCAAAATGGAAATCTCTAGATTCTCACTGGAATTGGATTTTCTAAAAATCTCTAGAATCGAGCATGAATAAAAACCAGTTATACATCAATTTCGAGCTATGTAAGACTGAGAAAATCGAAAACCTACAATGGCGATTTTATGCGGTTCGTTTTCTCGCTAGGTTTATCGTTGAATCACACCTTCTTCTTCTTCTTCTTCAATGGAACTTAACGGCAAGGAGGAGAAAACAAGTCGGACGAAAATGATATTACCGGAAAATGAAAACAAAAAGAAAGCTGAAACAATTTAAGGATCGATCCTTCGTATTTATATATTTCTTTTAAGAAAGAAAATAAGTAAAAACAGAGCTGGTATTTTACTATTTTGCCCTTATGTATTCGAAGGATTAACAAAATGTCAAGATTTTGGTTTTGTATACTACCATCAAATCCGGTTTAATTAGAGGTATTTAGTTCTCTAATTCTATTCCAGTTTTGTCCTTTTTCTTTTTCTTTTTTGTTATTAACATTTGTATGATCTGTCTAAATTAAATTACTGAATATTATCTCTATATAAATTTGTACATCTCTCCATATAATGATACAACATTTTACTAAAGTATCTGTACCATTTTATAAATCTTCATAAATGGAAACTGAAAGGTTCTTATGTGTAGAGAAAAAAGCAATAAAATACAAGAGATGGAACATAATCTGAACACTTAATAAAAAAGTTCAAGTAAATGGAGTATGAATATCTCTAAACAATTAATATAGGTAAGTCCTATATATTAGTTTCTCTTTTCTGAAAAATAATTAATCTTGTGAGTTTTATTTTCAGATTTCTAATAAAGTTTTGCCAAAAGTTGACATAGTAAAGATATTAAGATAATGTTCGATATTTTGGGAGAGTTAGAAGTATATAAAATATTTGCCTTGTGATACAATTTTGGTTCTTCGAAATTACATTTTCAATCTTGGCAAATTTACAAACAGGGACGACAAAAACCAAACGCAATGATCATAACAGCGAAGTCATAGACTTATCAGAGAAAGGGAACAAGGAGTATAGGACCAAGTGATACAACTAAGTCAATAAAGCCGATAATAGGCATATGAAAGGTATGATCAAGATTAACAAAACTCCAACGCATATTGCAGAATTGGCCCAAGGGTATGATACGATATCTCGTAATGTCTCTCTGATGGTTTGACCTAAACAAACTCAAACCAAACCCGTTGCTCTCTTTTTAGTCTCTCATGTAAGATCACACCTGAAGATCACATAAACAACATCACACAGAACCAACAATTCTTCATCCAGCAAAATGTGGCAACCTTTTTGTTTCAACGCAGGAAATCAAGAAGGCAACACAAATTATCCACCAACAATTCTCAACATCGAACTCGTATAAGTAATGACAGCAACCATAATTGTTCCGTATGTTAAATCATCACATTTTCCTTCTCATTATTGATAACAGAATTGTATGCGAATGTCTTTAATCAAATGATTAACAATCATAAGACTTTTGACAACTAAAACAGGAAGAAGCAAGAGCATCTCCAACGAAAAAATAGGGATTAATATTGGAGACGGTCTTAATCGAATAATAAAACAGAACAATCATCAATTTCAGTTAGAAAAACCAAATCTGAGAAAAGAAAACATCATTGCACTCCAAACAATCCATCTCGCTCCAACAACTTTATATTCCACCAACAAACCTCATCGTAAATTCAGAGGAAACCCAATTCGTAAATAATGAAAAAGAAGATAGAACAAATGTGTGAGGCATTTCCAGGATCAAATAACATAGAAAAAAAGCCAAATGATCAGGATATACCACAATCAATATTGCGTCAATGCCATTATACCTAAAGGAACCATATTTAATCCTTCAGAATTGGTAAAAGACGCCATTCATTATTAACAACAATAATAACAAACACAAAGATTTAGGGAAGATCTAAGAAAAGCTCAGTGGAAGGAGAAGTCGTTTATTAAAGAGAGCTCACGGCAAAACAAATTTTCATTGCTTTGTCCACTGCCCTTCACGCACCTTCGTGCTATTTTATCATCATCGCAAACCAAATTTCCCCAATAAACAAAAACAAATCAAACTAATAAAGCCTCAGTGTGTGTAACAATTCAGATCATTGATTTTAAAAAAACCTCACTGAAATCCGCTAAGATAATTGTTTTTATCATCATAGGCAATTCAAAGGGAACACCAAAACAAAAACTTTCATTATAGTGGGCGAAAAAGGATTTACTCAGACAGCCAAGGGTTGTTTCTTCAAATTCTGGGTGAAGAGCCCAGATCTGAAACTCTAGTCCACGAAATATTCGTTTCATCACCATAAACCCTTTTTACGCCCCAGAAAAAAACGAAAACTTTGATAACAAAACCCTAGACTCATTGAAATTATTAAGCAGAAAGAAGCATATGTTGTTCTGAATAGAGGAAAGAAGACGAAACGTATATATACTCAAATAAACGCCGGCGGATTAGCTTTGGGAATTAGGGTTTTTTCAGCGGCTACACCGTCTATTTTTTCTTTTTGGGTTTAGGGTTTTGTTTTGAAGAAAGCCCAATAAGTACAAAATGGCCTGTTTTATAAGTCCCTATTAAAAGCCCACAATGAGTTTTAATTTTAATTTTTTTTTTACTCGTCTTTGTGTGGTGAAGCGGCTTTCTCTCGGTCTCGCATTGATCGCACGCATGACGATATCTAGGAAACTAGCGCAATCAATGCAACGGTCTTGAACGTTATTTGTGACTAGGATTCTGCTACATACTACTTTGCATGTTTCACGTGTGTACGTACCCTTTCATCATGAGAAAATCAGAAAATAATAGATTTTCGTGACTCATAGTATGAAACATTTTTATAACTAACTAATTGGAGGAAAACTAGGCAGATTTTTTTTATAAACGATATCGATTTAAGGGGGATTTTTTTTTCTTTTCTTGTTATTCCTCCTATAAACAAAGCTATCGAAACAAAGCATCCAAAAAAAAGAAGAAGAGAGAAACATGAACAAATTTGCGCTTGTCTTCGTACCATTTCCTATACTTGGTCATCTCAAATCAACCGCCGAGATGGCTAAGCTACTAGTGGAGCAAGAAACTCGCCTCTCTATCTCCATTATCATCCTTCCTCTTCTTTCCGGAGACGACGTCAGTGCTTCCGCTTATATCTCAGCTCTTTCCGCCGCATCCAACGACCGCCTTCACTATGAAGTGATCTCGGACGGAGATCAACCAACCGTCGGGTTACATGTCGATAACCACATCCCGATGGTGAAACGTACCGTTGCAAAACTCGTTGATGACTACTCAAGGCGGCCGGACTCGCCGAGGCTCGCTGGTTTAGTTGTTGACATGTTTTGTATCTCGGTGATAGACGTGGCTAATGAGGTTAGTGTTCCGTGTTACTTGTTTTACACGTCAAACGTTGGGATTCTTGCTCTTGGGTTACATATTCAGATGTTGTTTGATAAGAAGGAGTACAGTGTCAGTGAAACTGATTTTGAAGACTCGGAAGTTGTGTTGGATGTTCCGAGTTTGACTTGTCCTTATCCGGTGAAGTGTCTTCCTTATGGTTTGGCAACGAAAGAGTGGCTTCCTATGTATCTAAATCAAGGTAGAAGATTCAGAGAGATGAAAGGTATTTTGGTAAATACTTTTGCTGAGCTTGAACCTTATGTGTTGGAGTCTCTTCACTCTAGTGGTGATACTCCTCGTGCTTATCCAGTGGGACCATTGTTGCATCTCGAGAACCATGTTGACGGTTCTAAAGACGAGAAGGGTTCGGACATTTTACGGTGGTTAGATGAACAACCACCTAAATCGGTAGTGTTCCTCTGCTTTGGAAGCATAGGAGGCTTTAACGAGGAACAAGCAAGAGAAATGGCCATTGCACTTGAGAGAAGTGGTCACCGCTTCTTGTGGTCTCTTCGCCGTGCATCTCGAGATATAGATAAGGAACTTCCCGGAGAATTCAAGAATCTTGAAGAAATTCTCCCGGAAGGATTCTTTGATCGGACAAAGGATAAAGGAAAGGTGATCGGATGGGCTCCACAAGTAGCCGTGCTGGCTAAGCCAGCAATCGGAGGTTTTGTTACTCATTGCGGGTGGAACTCGATACTCGAGAGTCTTTGGTTCGGTGTTCCTATAGCGCCATGGCCGTTATACGCTGAGCAGAAGTTTAATGCTTTCGTGATGGTGGAGGAGCTTGGTTTGGCAGTGAAGATAAGAAAGTATTGGCGAGGCGATCAGTTGGTGGGAACGGCGACGGTCATAGTGACGGCAGAGGAGATAGAGAGAGGAATCAGATGTTTGATGGAGCAAGATAGTGACGTGAGGAATAGAGTGAAGGAGATGAGTAAGAAATGTCACATGGCTTTAAAGGATGGTGGCTCATCTCAATCTGCTTTGAAATTATTTATTCAAGACGTTACGAAGTATATTGCTTGAGAATAGCTAAACCGGAGCATGCAACGCTCTTGAATGTTGTGTCCCTTTTATATATTATCAGTTTATCACTAGATATGATAATTTGCATGTGTTCTATTTACGTGTGTTCTATCTTTTGAGTGATCATGAGAAAAATAATATTTCTAAAGTTTGTAAAAGAGTTTTTCAATATCAATCTGTTCATTATTGGTTGTAAAACATTATATACTTAAAATGAGACTGTAGCTGATTGATTGTAGTTATTTAAAACTAAATCTTAATTCAGTCAAAGCATATAAACTAATAATAAATTATGTAATTTGGTTTCACCACATATATATATATATATATATATATTCATAATTCAAATAAAGATACATCTTTAAAATCCAAAATTATAGACATCATAAATCTCAAATACTCCCCCTCCTACCAACTGTATGTTCGTGCAAAATTTACGTAACCACGTGGTTTTTTAAATCGTCAGGATTCAAACGTTGAAAATAAAATTAAACAGACCATCTTCATCCCTAAATCTTTAAGACACCCATAAGGCCATAAAGGTTTAGGGATGAAGACACATGATTACGATGTTCATTGCGAAAGTGATTTCTCAAAAACTCTCCAACGTGCGAGTCATAGAAGGTCCGACCGTCCAGGAAAGGATTAGAAAGCTAGCAGATGTCTCATGTGTTATATATGTGGATGTGTGAGTGTTTCAAATGATTGTGAGTGTTTAATTTTTCTTTTCTAAAAAAAATAAAAAAATAGAAGTTCATACCCGAAAAAATGAAATCGATGCTTGTTCTCTTGTACTTATTATTTTAGAATATGGTATGCTTATCTATATTTTTGTTCATAAATTATAAAAACTAATTTCGATGATAGATAAATTGTATATTTGCCAATTGTTTTTTTCTTTTTTCTTTTGTAAATTATGAAGTTCCCAAACGAAACTCATACATCTCTCTAAACCCAAGGTCCCAAGATATGAAGCTAACCTTTACCACGTCGAGTGCGGGGGTTTTAGCACTTAAAGTTCACATCCAAATGTTGTACGATGAGAACGAATACGATGTTAGTTAAAGTGATTATGAAGACTCCGAAGCTGTGTTGGACGTACCGAGTTTGACTCGTCATTTTCCGGTGAAGTGCCTTCCCCACGCTTACGCATCTAAACAATGGCTCCCGACGTTTGTAAATCAAGCTAGAAAATTCAGAGAGATGAGTGGTATTTTGGTAAATAAAGTTTTTATCAAGTGGTGATACTCCTCCTGCTTATCCAGCACCATTGTTGCAACTCGAAAACGGAGTTGGAGTTGGTGACTCAAAGGACGAGAGGGTGACTGGACGAGCAACCACCTAGGTCAGTAGTGTTCCTCTGCTTTGGGAGCATGGGAGGCTTTCGTGGGGAACAAGCAAGAGAAATCGCCAAAGCGTTAGATCGAAGCAGCCACCGTTTTTTGTGGTCTCTTCGTCGAGCATCTTCGAATATTTTTAAAGAATCTCAAAAAGAGTCTATGAATATCGAAGAAGTTCTCCCGTAAGGGTTCTTTGATACCTTAATCTTATCATTAATACTATTTGAGGGGGAAAAAATTGTTATTGTTTTGACAAAAAAGAAAAGAAAATTATTGTTCCTCATCAGTTTTGTTATCAAAGGAGATGCCGAAAAGGACTAAAATATTTTCTAATGGGCCTTAATCAATCGGCCCAACAAACAGAGGTAAATGAATGAAGCCGAAACACGGAAACAGTTACGTGCTTATTACCACTAGCGAGCGTTATCGCTTCGCAGATTCAGTCAAAAACAAGAAACAGGAGCTTGTCTTCTCCCCGAGATTAGAAGAAGGACTAACATGAAATTTGAGCTTGTTTTCATCCCCTATCCCGGAATCGGTCATCTCCGATCAACGGTAGAAATGGCAAAGCTACTAGTGGACCGTGAAACTCGTCTCTCTATCTCCGTTATCATCCTTCCTTTCATTTCCGAAGGCGAAGTCGGTGCTTCCGATTACATCGCAGCCCTCTCCGCCTCATCCAACAACCGCCTCCGCTACGAAGTTATCTCCGCCGTAGATCAACCAACCATCGAGATGACGACAATTGAAATCCATATGAAGAACCAAGAACCAAAGGTGAGAAGCACCGTTGCAAAACTCCTTGAAGACTATTCGTCTAAACCGGACTCGCCGAAGATCGCTGGCTTTGTTCTAGACATGTTTTGCACTTCGATGGTAGATGTAGCGAACGAGTTTGGTTTCCCGAGTTATATGTTTTACACCTCCAGTGCCGGGATTCTCTCAGTTACATATCATGTTCAAATGTTGTGCGATGAGAACAAGTACGATGTTAGTGAAAATGATTATGCAGACTCGGAAGCTGTGTTGAACTTTCCGAGTTTGAGTCGTCCTTATCCGGTGAAGTGTCTTCCTCACGCTCTGGCAGCTAATATGTGGCTCCCGGTGTTTGTAAACCAAGCGAGAAAGTTTAGGGAGATGAAAGGTATTTTGGTAAATACTGTTGCTGAGCTTGAACCTTATGTGTTGAAGTTTCTTTCTAGTAGTGATACTCCTCCTGTTTATCCTGTTGGACCATTGTTGCATCTTGAGAACCAACGTGATGATTCTAAGGACGAGAAACGGTTGGAGATTATACGGTGGTTGGATCAGCAACCACCAAGTTCGGTTGTGTTTCTCTGCTTTGGGAGCATGGGAGGCTTCGGTGAGGAACAAGTAAGAGAGATCGCAATCGCGTT